TTTTTCTCCTTCCCTGTTAATCTGTTTTTTGTTGTTTTTTTTTTTTTTTTTAAATTCAGCAGGGGTAGGTGGGTGCCTCAGCCAAGAATCTGAAGATTAGAGGAAAAATTATTTTTCAGCCTGAACAAAGCCAACTCCCTCCTTTTTCAGATAAGGAACTGGAGCACAGAGAGGTGAAGCTCTAGTCATTGCTTGGTCTGGGCTAAAGCATCTTCATGACAGGTTGTATGCTGTGTCATATCAATCAGCTATATGTTATTTCTATGGTCATATATTCAACAGACAATGAACTAGAAAATACCTTTTCCCCTCCCCCTTCAACTTTGTGGAGACAGATCTTATAGAATGAATTTAAGAGAAATGCCGCTTTCCCCCAAGCCCAGACTTTCGCAAAAATTATAAAGGAGATAAAAGCTGACTTGAGTATCCTTTAGCTCTGTGTCCCCATCCCCCCTTTCTGTTCTCGTGCTCTATTTTGGCATCCAACCTGCAGGAATTCAGTACCGTGGAGTACCTGATAAACTTCTTCCTTATTCAGATGATGGCTGACAATGTTGGACTTTACCTGAGCCCTCTGCTCCTGGAAAACTGCTGGTTAAGAAACCCTCCCAACTTTTTGTCTTCCAAAACCCCCTCACTCTTTTATGTTTTAGGAAATGGCTTACTGCAAAGCCAACAAGCAAAACACAAAAATTACCCCATTAAAAACCCTCTCCCCTATGACTTACTAGATATGGAGCTCTGTCTACCCTTTCTCATGCTCCCATAAGAACTGCAGAAGACTCCTTTGTTGGCCTATAACAAGGCCAAAGATGGACCCTTCCCCTTTTGCTGGAGCCTAATGAACGACCAGATACAGACCCTCCAATTGCTTGTTCTTTGTCTCATAAATAATTAGCTGAGATTAGAACTATTTGTTCTCCTTCAACTAGCCAGATGCAGACATAGACATTTCCTGCTCAGCTGACTGAGACTTCCCCTGAGTACAAGATAATCCCAACTGTAAATCATCCCACACGTTCCTTATCCACTCCTCCTAGAAAGTCTAAGGCAAAATCCACTTTGCTCAGACACTCTGATCTTCCGATCTAGAATGCTTTCCTTATTGCAATAGCCTGAATAAAATCAATTTCCCTACCCATTCAGTTTTTGTCTTTGGTATTTCCTTAGAAAATGTCTTTAGCAATTTATATGTTTAGTCTGTGTTACATTATTTCAATAATAGATGAGAAAACAGAAGAGGTGCCATCAAATGTCCTCTGGTCTAGTTCAGATCTCTCTGTGTGTTCTTGACCTTTCTGGCCCTCAGTTTCTTCATCTTTAAAAAAAGACACTGGATTTGATAATGTTTAAGATTTTAACATTCCATATTAGTTGATAAATTACATTGTAATTATTTTTAGTTCCATTTATGGATGTTATGTGACTCAGGTCTGAGACTAAGTCTTTTACTTTTTTCTCTTCTCTGCTCTGTTTAAAGTAGTTGTTACATAATGTTTATTAAAGAGAAAGAGTTATGACTAGTTGGTAAGCTTCTAAGGTAGTAGGGGCTGTTTTAGTATAATGCTTTCAATTCTATAAATGTTTACAGAACAACCAACAGCTGGCTTTCCTGATAGATTCCAATATGTGATTGTGACTTATGTCTTCTTTTTGAAATTAAATTCAAATTATTCAAGTACATTTCAGAAATAAAATGCCAGCATGCTAAATGTCTATAATCAAATATTCGGTTTTCTTTCATTTGGAAAACTAAGTTGCGAGAAAATTCTTTAATCTCCTAAGGAGAAGCAGATATATATAACTACTGTTAATGGGGAACCAATTCCAGAAGAATCTGATTTTTTTTACAGTGCCATTCTATTTATCCATCACTTTGACGATGAAGGTGATGGTGATTACAAAATAATAGATGTTAAATTGTTAAGTAAAGAGAGCTCAAACTTTAAAAAGGGAAAACATCTAAATCCCAAGAAGGCCATCATTTGTGGAAAAGCTGATAGCAGTTTGAAGCGGGATCTACGGTACCTAGTGGGATGTCAATAAACTCAAGGTAATTTTCCAGTCATTTGGTCCAATAATAATTACGGCTAAATTTAACTGTGTGTCTTGCACTGAGTTTTACAACTATTATCTCACTTGTTCCTCACCACCAACTTATGAGACAGGTACTATTATTATCATCTTTGTGCTGCAGATGAAGATATTAGTTCAGCAAGGTTGTACCAATTCATTGCCTGAGGCTGGAGAGCCAGGAAATGACACAGTCAGTGTTCAAAGCCAGATCTGTCTGACTCCAGAGTCCAGGATCTTAACCACAGCACTACAATGCCCAGTCCTCTAGGAGAGTGAGGAAAACAATGTAAAAAAGATTATCTGGTTTTTAGTTTTATATTTTAATGAACACAGCATCATTAAGACAAGCTTCTACAACTGTATTTATGGGGTGTGTGATGTCTAGAAAATCATAACAGGATACAGCTGACCAGTTGAAAATATCCTTCTAGGTACATTACATCTTCTGCAAGATTTGGTTTAGTATACACATGGCATTATAAAACAGGAGCTGTTTTTAACTCACTGAGTGATATGCAGTAAAGACCTAATACAGCAGAACCATGATGTGCAGTTACAGTTAAGGTTTGGTTCAGACTGCCACAGAAAGTCAGTTTAAGATAACAACTTGCTATATATGGCACCAACCCTTAATGTTTCTTAATAAAGTATTAAATTGAAATTGGTTTGGCCTGTTTGTTGTTATAATTGAGCAGAAATTTAAAAATAGTTTTTCATTTATGAAACTCATTACAACACATTAAAATATAGCTGGATAGCATTTCTCTAAAAGCCATCATGAATAGACTCTGGGGCTTTGCTTTCATTGGGTAAAGTGTCTTTTGTGGTTTTCATATACGTTTTGTGTGTGGATTTCAGTACAGTGTGGAGATAAGGCTCCGAAATCAGACCGCCAGTTTCTAGCTGTGTGAACTCGGGCAAGTTACTTAACCTCTTTGTGTCTCTGTTTTTTTTTTTTTTTTTTAATTTGGAAAATGAGGTCCATAATGTTACCTTCATGATATAATACATGTGAAATGTCTGGAGTGATTCTTGGCACACGGTTAATTATGCAATAAATTTCAGTCATCATCAGCAAACTCCAGCTAACCCTTGGAAAACACTGGGGTTAGGGGCACCCATCCCCTCCCTCTCAACCCCATGCAGTCAAATAATCCTTGTATAACTTATGACTCCCCCAAAACTCAACTACTAATAGTTGACTATTAGCCAGAAGCTTTACCAATAACATAAACAGTTGATTGACACAGATTTTATATGTTTCATGTTATATATACTGTTTTCCTACAATAAAGTAAGTTAGAGGAAAGAAATGTTATTAAGAAAATCATAAGGAAGAGAAAATTCATTTCCAGTCCTGTGCTGTATTTATTGAAAAAAATCTGTAGAGAAGAGGACTTGGGCAATTCAAGCCCATGGTGTTCAAGGGTCAACTGTACTTTGTGGAAGGGAATTAGAGATGTCTGAATTAGAGTAAACAAATGAGTACGCGCTGGTAACAACTATGTGATGACCTTCTGTCTTGTGTGTTTCATTTTCCTCAAACAGATCACTCATGATTTTCAAGTGTGAATGGCAAGAAACCCCCTAGGCACAAAATGGTGGCCCTTGCACTTGCACATGTAAAGGAATCAAAGAGTAAGAAAGAAGATAAGGGAGAGAAACCTCGAGTCCAAGTGTACTCAGACCCTTTCCTCTGTCATCTCTGACCCTCAGCCCCTCTCAGCAGCAACAATGGAATTGCTGGGAAAGGTCAGCCCAGGCTCAAGACAGTATTTCTCAACAAGGACGTAAAGCAAGCTGCACTGTGAATCAAAAACTAGAACAAATCATAATGTTTTCCTGAAACCTAAGCATGAATTTTTACTGAAGTGTAGACCAAAGGAGAATTACATTTTCAAAGACAAACAAAAACAAAACAGCAAACCCTACAAATAACCCCCAAAAGACACTAAAAACACAAGTAAAGATTAGTGACTAAAGCAACTACAAAACCAAATATCTTGTTTGTAACTCATCAGCCAAAATAAGACTGTCTTATCACCCCTATAAAATGTTAAGTTTCTTGAGGGTAGGGTTTCTTTGGGTCATTGATTCATTCATCGGTTTGTATGTATCTCCTAAAAATATTTAGGATTGTGCTGGCTCTATGTTCTGTTTTCAATTTCTGCTTTTGGAATTGACATCCTGAAATTTTACATTGTTTGAGTCCCTGTGTGCTGACTCCTATTTCAAGAGAAATCATAATAGAAACTTTCAGCCATTTTCAATACTTGTATATTGAGACTAAGATCACTCAATGTGAATAAGATGTTGGGAGTGCTGGAGAGTTGGGAGAGACATTTATTGTAAATAAGTCAGGTAGCTCAAGCTTACGTTAGTTAAATTTAACAATTCAATACTCAGAGTACTTTTTTCTTTTCTCCAACTGCGAAGAATTCATGTTCCCCAACTAGAAAAAAATTCATGTTTCCCCACTTTGACATAAACATTCACCCTTATATTAAGTATAAAAGGCTTTTTCTTATTATAAACAGAAGAAATTTCCATATACCCTTTGTAAAATGTTATATATAAATGCTGGACTTGGACACAGAGAACTTAATCAAAATCCCATGTTGCTTCAGGGTAGTTATATGCAAAATGCAATTTCCTTTGTATTGAAACCTCCATCCTGTAAATATTTATCTATTTTCAAAATTGCCTACATATTTGAAAAGTTTAATTGGTTTATACTCAAGGCACTAGAGAAAGGAAAATTTGCTTTCATAAGACATTTACATGTATTTATTCTGTCCACGGAGAGTACTTCTTTTGAGTGATCATGAGATTTAATGTGAAGTGAAACCATCCCAGCTTTGGTTCTAATGACCAAATTAGAAGAAAAGTAATCAATAATAAATCAATCATTTTGATCACTGTACCTTTTTTCTCTGATTTATCGGAAACTTTTCCTCCAATTGGAGAGTAAGTAGTATCCATGGATTCGGTCCCTCTGTTCCCTTTGCTAACTCCATTTTCATAGAGCTGTCCTTCAACTGGTTGCAACTGCCAAGTCAGGCCGAACAAATGTACTGCTGCAAGAAAACAAGCCATACATAAACTTATTCCAGACTTGCTGAGAAGGTCTCTAAACCAGCTGTCCCTTTCCACCTAAAAATGCTATGACCAGATTTCTTTCAGTTAGGCCAAGCAGCTTGGAGTTTATACCTACATCATACATGTAACTACTTTTCTAAGTAGCTATTGTTAAAATGTGTCAGGAAACAAACTGAGGGTTGCCGGAGTGGGGGGTGGGGTGGGAGGGATGGGGTGACTGGGTGATAGACAATGGGGAGGGTATGTGCTCTGGTAAGCGCTGTGAATTGTGCAAGACTGTTGAATCTCAGATCTGTACCTCTGAAACAAATAATGCAATATATGTTAAGAAAAAAAAAGAAGAAGGTAGCGGGAGGGGAAGAATGAAGCGGGGGAAATCGGAGGGGTAGACGAACCATGAGAGATGATGGACTCTGAAAAACAAACTGAGGGTTCTAGAGGGGAGGGGGGTGGGAGGATGGGTTAGCCTGGTGGTGGGTATTGAGGAGGGCACATTCTGCATGGAGCACTGGGTGTTCTGCACAAACAACGAATCATGGAACACTACCTCTAAAACTAATGATGTAATAATGTAGGGGATTAACATAAGAATAAAAAAAAAAATGTTGAGGCTATAGCTATCCCGGTGGTAGATGTTGGGGCATCAGTGAGGCAACCACAATGGGATTAGACGCTGCTCCTCAACACTGTTATCCCTTCCTTTCCCGTTTCCCTTGGTCGTGGAACTCTACTTTGTATATGGAAACTGCAGAGTAATAGTGGACAGGCTATCGCGAGAACATGGGAGGCCTTCGCTAAGCCAGTTTCCTGAGTGCCTAGTATGTGTAAGGTCCTATGATAGCTGTTGCAGATGTTAAAATATAGATGCTTATTAGGGTAGGAGTTGGAAGTAATACAGGTATAAAATAACTATAATATAATGCAGAATAATTGACACAATACAGGTTCAATTGCTATCAGAGGGTTAAAAATACCTGTGTTGATCAGAGTGCAATGTGCACTCTCATATACTCTTCATGAGAGTATTAAAAAAAAAAACCCACCCTTGTGGAGGGTAATGTGGCACCATTTATCAAAAAACCCTTAAAATTTGGCTTACCCTTTTAGCCCACAATTTCATATCTATGAGTTAATTATGAATGTGTACAAACTACAAGGCTATCCATTGTAACATTTAAAAACTAGTAGAAAGTTATGATCAATTAAATATTCATCAAAAGGAGATTAATGAAATAACTGATGATATTATAAATAATACAAGATTACATTGTTATTAAATCATGTTACAGAAGACTATGAACTGGCATGGGAATAATTATGATGCATCAAATGAAAAACATCAGGCTATTAACAGTATGAATAGTATGATCTATAATGTGTGTGTGTGTGTACACATGTTGATGTCTGGAGAGAGAAAGGGCTGGGAGGATATATCGCAACATGTCCACAACATGGGGACTTATGGAGGATTTTAATTTTCTTCTTTAGGATTTATGTATTGTCGATACTTTTTATAATGAACATGGACGATGATGTTTGCCATCTGGGGGAAGAGGAATTTTTGTTTTAAAAGAAATAATTTATTCTCTAGTTTCAAATAAAATAATCCTTACAAAATATTTTTAAGGGATTAACATAACAATAAAAAAATTAAAAAAAAATCTAAAAAAGAAGTGGGTTATTTTCTGATTGGTGTGGCTAGAACTTTCAGTAGTACTGTGTTAAATAATAGTGGTGAGAGTGGACATCCTTGTCTTCTTCCTGACTGTAGAGGAAAAGCTCTGTTTCTCCTCGCTGAGGATGATATTAGCTGTGGGTTTACATATATGGCCTTTACTAGGTTGAGGCATGTTCCCTCTAAACCTACTTTGTTGAGGGTTTTTATCATGAATGGATGTTGTACTTTGTCAGATGCTTTTTCTGCATCTTGAAATGGTCATATGTTACTTATCCTTTTATTAATGTGGTGTATCATGTTGGATTGATTTGTGAATATTGAACCACCCTTGCAACCCAGGAATAAAATATCACCTCACACCTGTCAGCATGGCTAAAATCAACAACACAAGAAACAAGAGGTGTTGGCGAGGATGTGAAGAAAGCGGAACCCTCTCACACTGTTGGTGGGAATGCAAACTGGGGAAGCCACTCTGGAAAACAGCATAGAGTTTCCTCAACAAGTTAAAACTAGAACCATACAATCCAGCAATTGCAGTACTGGGTTATTTACCCAAAGAATACAAAAACACTAATTCAAAGGGATACATGCAACCCCATGTTTAAAACAGCATTATCAACAATAGCCAAATTATGGAAATAGCCCAAGTGTCCATCGACTGATGAATGGATAAAGGAGATGTGATATATAGATATATATATGATGGAATATTACTTAACCATAAAAAAGAATGAAATATTGCCATTCGCAAAGACATGGATAGAGCTAGAGAGCATAATGCTGAGCAAATAAGTCAGAGAAAGCAAATACCATATGATTTCACTCGTACGTGGAATTTAAGAAATAAAACAAATGAGCAAAGGGGAAAAAGGGAGGCAAACCAAGAAACAGACTCTTAACTCTAGAGAACAAACTAATGGTTACCAGAGAGGAAGTGGGGGGGGGTTCCAAACAGGTGATGGGGATTAAGGAGGGCACTTGTGATGATCACGGGGTGGGAGTGTTGCATCACTAAATTGTACACCTGAAACTAATATTACACTGTATGTTAACTAACTGGCATTAAAATAAAAACTCAAAAAAAGTGGTTTAAAGAACAACAGATTAAAATTGGCTTGGCTGATTAGGGAGGCTTTAATGAGGTAGGATTAGAGATGAACCTTGAAATATGTGTAGGGCTTTGACAGGTGACAACAATGGGTAGGGTGAAGGGGCAGGTTGAACAAAATATGACATTGCAAAGCACAGCATGCATTTGAGGCAAAGGAAATTGCTGGGTTGGCTGGAGTATAGTTAGGTATAAACGGTAGTGGAAGTTAAGGCTCAAAGGGAGGATTAGGGCCATATTGTGGAGGACGTTGAATGCCACACTTAGATATTTGGATTTAATTTATTAGGCAGCAGGAAGGCACTGCTATTTTCTGAGCAAATGAGTGTTATGATCAGTTTTCTTTAGGAAGATTAATTTGATAGCAATGGGGAGCACTGATGGTTTCTAGGTAAAGAAATGATATCATCAGAGCACCCTTTGCGGAAAGATAAATGCAATACTAGTGTAGAGAAAGACGAAATGGAGGCCTAAAGATTTGGCAAGAACACAAATTGGGATGGTACTGCAATAGCCTAGGTGAGAAATAATGGGCAGTGGTAGTGGGAATGCAAAGAAGGAGATTCCTTAAGGAGAAATTGCATAAATGTTGTCTCAGGGTTTGGCAACTAGTTGTGTGTGCACGTGCATGTGTATGCACCTGCATGCTCATGCACACATGTGAATGTGCTGGGGGCAAGAATAGAAAAAAAAATGAGGGAAAGGGAGGAATTCAAGGTTTAGGTTTTGAGCCTGAGTAACTGAAACCACAGGGCAATGATTAATAGAGTTAAGGGATTCTGTACTTAGCCCAGTACAAGCTACAGATAACTGGTGCTGGAGATGTGTTTGTTGAATGATGACTAGTTGAACTAGTTGTTGGCTGATGACTAGTTGGTTTGGGCAGGGTGTGGTGATGGGAGAAATATAATGAATTCATCTTTGGAGGTGCTGGGTTCCACCCACCAATGGGCTATCCAGATAGTCATGCTCAATCCAGGAGCTTTGGAGGTTTGAAGTTCTGGTGAAGTATTAAGGCTAGAACGAGACTGGGGAATCATATATGCACAGGGGCAACAGCTGACATTGTGAGAGTGAATGAGGTCACCGAGGGCAGATAATGTTGGAAGAAAACAATAACTAGGACAGAAGCTGTGGAAATCCTTTTATCTGTTTTCTCATTGCAATTTTAAACATCAACCAAATCTGACTGAAAGGAAAAAAAAAAGTGGATCTGTTCATAATCCATCTAACATTTTCCTTTATGTTCCTAGGCAGAGTGAAAGGGGCTAATTTGTATGTCTAATACTCATATATAGTATATGGATTTGCAACCGAGAACAGGAAAGCTAGCCAGATAGCCTATTTAAAAATCACTCATCCACTTTTAGTTGGAGCTAGAGATTTCTAACACCTACCTCCTAATTTATCCTTAAAACTTTTAAGCATTTAATTGGTTTCTACCCTTGTCTTTGGATTAGGGCCAGTGCTGCCTGATGAATTTCTCTTGCAATTATTGGAAACCACTGAAACTCAAATGATAGTGGTTCTGAGTCAGGTACAGTATGGCAAAGGACTCAAAGTATGGTTGGTTTAACATACTCCATTTAAAGAGGCTTATAAGTTTTTTCTTTTTTTAGAAAATTTGGTCTACTCTGTTCCCCAAATAATGTGAATATGATGGATGTTAGAAGCCATATTAAAAATGTGTTGAATTCCCTTGGTTCAGTTACTTTTGTGAAATTAGGTTGGCCATAAGGAACAAAAGGCATAGTAGTTTTCATTTTGAAGATCAAGGGGGATATTTTATACACTTTAAGTTAAGCCAGTTTCCTGAGGGCACTCAAAAATGACAGAAAAAAATGCGTGTGCTGAGAATCACTTCACAATAATAAGGCAAGGATTAATTTTTCACCATCAAATGAATTGGACTGCTTCCAGCCAATCAAGACAGATAAAGAGGTGTAGGCACATTTAGTAGAACACCCTTTGAGGGCGGTGAAGCTTATAATTTTTTTAGTTTACTTTATCTTTCCAGGCAATAAGCTATTTATAATGTATATTTATATGAGTACATAATGCAAGTTAACTTACTTGCTATAGACTATGCATACCAAAGCAAGACTACATGGTCTTTCCTCTTCTCCAAACGGAACCTCCCTCTGCTGATTAGAGAAAGGAACTCAAAAAGTATGTGCAGGGTAGACTAAGGT